AAAAAAAAAAAAGTTAAAAAAATTCTTAAAAAAAAAAAAAAAAAAAGATAAGGGGACCATCCAGTCCTTGACCTCAGGGAAGAGGGCAAGGTAGAGTGAGTCGGATCCCAGCACGTGACTCTGGGGAAGCATGACTCTTACCCGAGGCCCCTCTGAGGGCTACTGTGGGAATGCAGAGGATACAAATGGGAAAACAAAACAAAAACCTCTAAACCAAGACTACACAGTGCTTTTGAATACACAAACAAGCGGAAAACATAAGATCATGCACGGAAATAATAAACGCTGAATTCACCACAAGGGAGGGCACACAGTTTTAGTCACATTTTATTTATGACAAAAAAGGGGGGAGGGGAATCTAAACCAAGTTATGCAATTCATTAAAATCTGCTCAGTGCAGGTTACATAGTGTCTCAAACCTTGTCTGTGAACAGAAGAGAGAGAAGCATTGTGCTATAGACGGGCAGCATGGCTGTCCTGGCTACCTGACCAGGAAATTCTTCCTCCTTCCCCTTAACCCATGTAAGGAAATCAGAAGAAAACAGAACTCGGACTGAGCCTCTCGGCTTCTTGCTGACAGCTCTAGAAAGTATCAGCTTTGCTGTCCCTGGACCCCTTCACCAGGGACCATGTTCACAAAGGAACGTAAGTCTTCCCTCCTACCACCAGGCTCCCGACCCCAAAGGCAGCCCTATTCCAAAATGGGTCTCTGCTAAGGGACCCAGGGAAGCTCCCTGCTCCAAGGACTCCACCATTCACCCGCCCTGGGACAAAAAGAGACAAAGAAGATGCCCTTCTTTGTCCAGTGGGGTGACTGAAGTTCATTCTCAAATCAGAAAGCTACAGTTTTCATCATTAATCACCGTCACTATTTAAAATGTGAGGCTGGGATACTGACTCATCTCAAGACGAGCATTTAGAGAAGGCCTGAAAGTCCTTCTTTTGAGGTGCCCAGGACTTGTCTCCATACCCACAGGAGCCTCGAGTGGCATGAACTTGCTCAGACAGAATCGTAGCAGTGAAATTCAGAAGCCAGCTCAGAGGTGAGGACTCTGAAGGATGCAGCCTGGTGGACTGAAACTTCATGTAATAACACTCTTTGTTTTTTAAGGGGGTCTTAGACCTGAAAAAGAAAAGCCAGGAGGCTGAAATGGAGCTCAAGGTTCAATGGGAAGAAGCTGCTTCCACCCTGCGGGATGTCCCTCGTGAGACGGCTCAGCAGGCAGGGCTGGGTGCCGCTTCGGGGATCTGGCTAACCCAGCGCACTCAGGGAGGAGTAAGACTAATTTATAAACAGAACAACACAAACCAGCTCTAGACCGAGGTGCTGAAGCAAGTCACTGCACCCTCACTGGCCAGGAAAACAACCGTGGCACGAATAATGAACACCTCTGGGCACCAACTTCTCTCTCCCCTCTCCACTGCTTGTTGGCCTGACAAAGAACTAAGCTGTCCTCCCAAAGACAATTCCACCCCTAACGTTTGGGAAGGAAAAAAACAATAAATCACAGTTTAAATAAACAACAACAAAGAAAGGTCCCCCAATAAAACAGAAACTACATTTAAGCTGGTCACATTGTATAAAAAAGTGTGCATTTAATCCAGAAGGGTCAAGCCTCTAATCATGTTAAATTTTCCATAAGCAGAATTTTGTGGTTTCAGTGAAGAAATTCCCATACAGTTGAAATCATGGTAAGAAATAAATGACTTTGAAAACATACAGACACACACACACACACACACACACACACACACACACACACACTTGCTGTAAGAGTAATATATACATGACACAGCAGCTACATGGGTGTTCAGGCGAAGGATGCATGACCAAGAAGCCCTCTGCTCCCTGCCTAACGGGAAAGCCCCCAGAAAGGACCAGCAGCAGCAAGTCTACAGCCCAAACGTGAACGGCATCGCCCCTGAAAAGAAGCAGGTAGCTGGACCACCCTCCAAGAGACACTTGAGCTAAAACTCAGGGGAAGGGTGCAGTGACGGTACATTCTACTGCATATGCTTGAAATGGTACAGTGTTTTCCTCCAGACTACTATAAATAATTTTTCGTGCTTTCTGAAAAAAAGATTGGTGAGGGCATATAGTGAAATCATATCATAAAGCAGAGCATAATTTACCCTCTGCGGGAGTTCGGTGGAGCGAGAATACTTATCCTTTGGCCAACAGAAAGCAAATCTCTCAGAGCTCCATGGCAGGGACTGTAGGAAGCCCAGGTGAATGCTCTGCTGGTAAAAGCTGCCTATCCTGCCCAGGTGAGAGAGCCCCTGAAATGGGTGGGCACGATGGATGCCTACTGTCTAACTGAGCCAGGAACGGTTCCATTGATGGGGATTCAGATCACCATAGACACTCCTGAGCCGAGCGATCCTATCCTCCAGGTTGGCAAATACTTTTAGAAACCGAAATGGCTTTACCCCTGTGACTTCTTTCCAATGCAAAGCTGTAACTTACTCACAACACAAATTATAAACATATAGACCATATATACAGATTTTTTTTAACAACCACAAATAAAAAACACTCTACAAAACAAAACAAAACAAAAAAAAAACAAAGACAGTGAGTCGAAGCCTTTTCATTGTCGGAGTCATGCCTCTGGGCTTGCCTTGGAGCCCTGCCCCTCGCTCAGTCCTGCCCCTGCTCTCCCGGTCCTGGCGGTCCCTACTCATCCTCCGCGGTAGCTGTCAGAATCCCCTTGTCCGTCAGGTGAGACTTGAGCGTGTTGAAGATGTGGAGCTGCTGATCTGGCCGCAAGGTCAGGAACTGCTGGATCAGTTTACTCGGGTTAGGGCCCCTGGAACAGGATGAAGAAACAGTGCTGAGTGAGCTGGGATCCAGCCGTTTCTACGACCTGATTATTCAAGTGGCTGCTCTGATCTCTGGATGAGAGGGATGTCAGAGAATCCATACAGAGTGACAAATAAAAACATCATTCTCATTTAAGAATGTAGATAAAGCTACAATTCTAGAACTGCACAATGCTTTAAAAACCCACCCACTGGGCTCAGATGGAAGGGCACTCTACCTGATAAAGCTGGCGATGTATACGTTGACAAAGGTGGCCATCAGATACTGGCAGTCAAAGCGATCCATGATGCCTCCGTGGCCAGGAATGGTATTGGCAAAGTCCTATCAGAGGCGAAGGAAGGAGGGGGGAGCCTGGACTCAGCCAATAACCAAACCCCAGCCCAATGGTCCCACCCAGTGTCCAGCTACTGTCCTGGCTGGATGAGGGCAAAACACTGAGAAGTATTGAATTGAATACTGAGGCTATACTAGGAAATGCTATTACTCAATTATAAAATATTCTTTCGAAGATATGATATAGCACTTCAAAAACTGAAATTCAATGATCAAATTTTCTTAGAAACAATGTATTGAGTCATTGGGAAAGTCAGGATGCATTTTTGCATAGAAAAATATGTCATAAGTTTCCCAATGACCCAGTATTTCATTTAGCCTGCCTAAATCTGGGGCATGGTCAAGAGCAGCAATTAATCATCAGGGTGTCTAGCCTGGTACTTTAAAGAGGGTCATGGCTGATGGGGCCTGATGGGAAGAAAGACAGTGGATGGGTGAGGTGGGAGTGAGATGAGAGGAACACAGAAAGGAGTTTTCCTACTTTGATTTTAAAGGCTCGTTTAAATCCACTTGCGAAGAATCCTCCAAAGGGGCCGATGAGCGAGGCGAAGGTGGAGAGGGCGATGCTGTGGATCTGGAAGGGGTACATCCGGACCGTTTTCTGAGGAGCATAAATGGAGCAAAGGTCAAGGAGTGCACAAGTGCAGCCTGACTACACATTACCTGAAGCACTTTTGAAACGAATTTCATGTATTTTTAAATCAGGAAGAACAGTGAACTTTTTTCCATTTTTATACATCTCTAGCGTCTGATTTAATGGAAGACATTACGATAATCTGCATCTAATCTGTTGCAATGTGTTGTTTTGGTGGGACTATGTGATGAAATCCAGCCTTACACAGACATGCAGTTGAAAAAAAGAAAACTATTTCAGCAGCCTTCTCAGATCATGGCAAGTATTCTTGGACACTATACCAGAATGTGACAAGTGGTTGTTTCTTCAACATTAGGTAGTAACATGAAACTGGAAATCCTACTGAGAAACTTCATTTTTTAATTTTTGCCATAAGACACATGCGCTTGCCAGACAGAGGGGAAGTAAGAAATTACCTCCCCCACCTACAGAGCCAAAATAGCTGTCAAGAGAGCGTAAGCCTGAAGAAATTACCTCCCCCAGGGGATATGTCCACACCACAATCCCTTTGTGTCCATTTTCCTCTCAGGATTCCGAGAACACACGCATACATGCCCAGTGTGTTTTTCAAGTCACCCAATCTGGGACTCAAACTGCAGAGTCGGCCATGTGGGATCCAGTACCTTAAAAGTCATGCCATCTCCTGGTACCTTGATGAACTTTTTGTACCCTCATTAAAATCCACTGGTCTAGGGCCAGCAGGTGGCAAGATGGTTAAGGTGCTGGATCCCACAGGGCCGACTCCATTTGAGTCCTGGAGCCAGTATCCCAAAAACACACTGAGCACGTGTGTATGCATGCCTAGAATCTCTAGAGGAGAATGGAGAAGGGACTGTGATATGGCCATATCTCTGGAGGGTGATTACTCACCTTTTTTCTTTCTCGCTGTCTCTCTGGTAAGTATATATGCCCTGTGGGGGGTAATTCATTGGACTACACCCTGTATTTTTTTAAGTTGTATTTTTCTTTTTTTTCTTAATTAAAGAATTATTTCATTTAACTTTTATTTATTTATTTATTTGTTTGTTTGTTTATTTCAATTTGACCAGAGAGGGACAGAGAGAGAAAGAGAGAGAGAGAAAGTGAGAAAGCAACCCGCCAGGTCCAGGACTCGAACTGCAATTGGTCATGTGGGAATCCAGCACCTTTAACCACCATGCCACCTACTGGTCACTTAAGTTGTATCTTTCTATTCCATGAGTAAGAAAGAAACAGAGATAGAGAAACACAGAAAAAGCAGCCTTGGTAGAGTCCTGACACTATGATCCACCTCTGGCCCCAGATCATGAGCCTCCGGCTCAGGGCAGTCTCCAGACACAAAGCAGCAACCCTCCCACGTGGGTCTGCACTGCTGCCTTGCAGAGTGTGGCGTCTCACCTCTGTGCCACCATTCCTGACCTTGCAGTCTATCTTGCACTTTGCATGGACTTCTTTACCTCTACACCATGCACTGGCCATTTAGAAATACTGGTTCACTGAGTTATGCAAGTTCCCAAATGTAGACACGTTTCATTATACAATGTCAAAATATCATGTTAACAGCACCACAGACCTCACTGGAAGACCCTTTAAGTATGAGGAAACTGTCAAGCTCACAGCGCTTTCCAAAACTCTAATTTGAACTTGAAAGCCAATTTTTATCATTGGTAACAATTACTGTCAGTCGTTTTCCTCGAAGTGACAGGCTTGCTTCATTTTTGTTTAATGGTTTTATTTATATTTTATTCATGATAGTTTATGAATGCACTCTCAAAAGAAAAAGAGAGAGGAGGAGGGGAGTAGGGAGGGAGAAGCACTATCGGCAGGGTCTGGTCATGCCCTTCCTTCAGCCCATCGGGACCTCAGGCATGTGTGAGCGCATCTGGTACATTTCAGGTTAACGGGGCCAAGTGTGCAAACCCATGGTCAGCCGTGTGGCTTCCAGCACTGCAGTCCAGTATGCTACTGACTGCAACACAGGGCAGGGCCTCACCTCATCATTTTCAATAAAACTGTCTGCCCGATACTCAAGTGAAAAACTCTAATTTGGGAGTTCTTTTTGAGTAAAAAATATGTTTCTAGAAAAAAA